TCTCGGCCTAACCAACATTTATTATTATTATAATAAAATAAAATAAAAAACACCCTGGATTTTTGGTTATTTCATCAGACTTTAGATAAATTTTCAGCGTCCACTTCCTATACTGCTAAAAAATATAGAAATCATGTGCTATAATTGTGTAATTTCTTAAAGTTTAATTTATAAATTAAAAACTATATCATAGGTACGACATCTATCGGAAGAAGATGTTATGCTCAAAACTATCCACACATTGGACATCATGGGATAATTTCTTTGGGGTGGGGGAGGAGTAATAAATTCATAACATCTAACTACCTTTGGTTTAAATAAAACAGACTAGGCTTTTTAGCCTTGGAAAAAGACAATGTTGAATTCAAAACCAGGGAGAAAGCAATAAGAAACCATTTCACTGTTTTCCGAATTATAGTAATTCACAGTTAAAGATTTTAGAAGGAATTTTTTTTTTTCCACAGCTTAATTCTTTTGTGGAATCATTTAATGCTGAAACATTTTGGATTGGAGGAGGTCACTTACAATACTCAGGATTTTTAAGTGGTCCCCCATCTAAGTACTAACCGGATTTGGAATGGCTTGACTTTAGTGATAGAACGAGAACCAGTTTAGGATTTACATATAAGCAGAAAAAAAGAAAAGTTATCTGTGGAGATCCGTAATCGCAAACATCCTGAAGTGATATGGCATATATATTAAAAAAAAAAAAAAAAACCTGGAAATATATGTTGGCCTACTCCCACCAGTTTTTTTTTTAAGGTAAATACCCATAGGAAAGATATAAATCTACCGCTCCTCCCAGCTACGGGTTAATTAGCAGGGGCTTGTATCAATAAATTAGCTCAAAGGAAAAACAAAATCCAAAGTTTAAATTTTTGGGCTTTAATCTGCAAAAGGTTGATAACCCATAAAAAATAATGAGATGTATAGAAGGATTATTACTTAGAACATTTTTACTTATAATTTCATTTTGTTAACCTTTTGGAACTCATCAATGATACTCTTTGTTGCTCAGTTAAGGACTCACACCATCTTTTTCTTTTTGGATAGTAATTTTCAAGACTTCTCTATACAACAAAGTTTTGTATCACTAAGAAATTGTACAAAACGTTTTGTGAATATGCAATAAGTTGCCAAAATAGTAAATATGGCGTTTAATAAAACTGATGCTGAAAACAAGACAAAAAAAATATTGCAACACCTTCAGCTCATTACAAACATCAGTCCTGGCTTCCTTCAACCTTTATCATGTTGCCATTTACCTGAATGAGAAGAGTATTTAGACATCAAACCCCCATCATTAAAGCGAAGCCAGGTTTATTAATTTTGCCTTTTCTCCCTTTAAATGATTATTTTTCAAACACTGAAGATATATGGAGACCCAGCAGTCCTCCCTCCATAAACAGAAGAAATGTCCGATTTGTACTAAGGATTCTCTGGTAATATTTCCCCGACTGCCTTTTTAATTATTTTGCACCTCGTTATATTTTTGTTCCATTCTCATATTCTTAACAACCACTTTACGTTTTTGTTTTTTGACCTTTACTCCTACCCTTTATATAGAGAGTGTGGCAGAAATACTTCTCACATAACACTAAGACATTTAGTGGCGGTGTCTTCATCTAGTTCATGGTTTCCCAACCGGGGGGGGGGGGGAATTTTCAATTGTTGGGAGGGCAATAGCCAACTGAACAGAAAATTGTGGGCAATCAAAAGTTTGGTGGATATATAGAATTTTGAATATGAAAAAGTATTCAAAGAACCTGTATATATATAAAAAAAAAAAAAAAAACAAAAAACAAAACAAAGCAAAATGGGAATAAATGGGTCACATTCCTAGATAAGATATAAATATCCCCACACTCAAGAAATATTTGGTATTTTTTTTTAGTTTTCAATGGTTAAATCTGATTTTGTTTTTTTTAATACGGTAGTTGTCACAAACAATTTTAAAAATGTTAAGTATACACACAATGTCTAAATACCGATGAAATCTGAACCTGTTGTGCCAATACAACTGATGTTTCTATTCATTGTATATCAAGAGCATGTAGCTCAATTTTAGGGCCCATAAAATAAATGCATCTGCAGTAAAGTGTTTATTGGCTGCAAGATGTGGAGGCTCGTGCAAAAATTCCCTAGAGACCCTTGTAAAAACAGAGTCAGTTTCCCAGAGACTCGTCTGGGGGATACCCTCTGACAAGCCAGAATAAAGTCGTTTATAAGACTAACTTTATACTAGCCATTTGATTATCTTCAATCATTTCTGTTCACAAGCAATTTTGAAAATATCCAAGGATGTGTCAGCAAGTGATCAGGTATGAATGAGATATATATATATATATATATCCAGTGGATAATTTTGTTTGAATACATTTCATATAAAATTTGTAATGTGACATTGTTAAACAATGTATCCCTTTATGCCACAATGCCATTCAAATTTGAATTCTTTTAATCAATATAATTTCATTTGATTAATTTGTATCAACATCTTTCAATATACTTCAATTTTTTCCTTATATAAATCATTTTTTTTTTTTTAACTTTTATGGAAAATTTTCCAAAAATTGAAAATGGAAGTGATGTTTCATTAATTGCAATTTTATTTAAATAAGATTTTTTATTACCATCATTGTTAACCATCTGAAGAGACGTTTTATTTTAAATGTCAAAATGAAATGTACAATTTTGTAGTGGATACTTCCATGTTCTAATGTAATATATATTTTCTTTTTAAAAATATGATTCCATTGCAACACAGAAAATTTCCATGCTTCAAAACTAAATTTAATTTAGAAAATCTGTATAAAAATGAATTAAGCAGATGACAACTTGCTGAATAACAGAATACTTTCCTTAGCACCCCCTCCCCCCACCTAAATTTTAAATTATTTTGGATACATAAACTGTCTAGGGAAATTAAAAAACCCAGCTACCCCTAAATTTAAAAAATAAATAAATAAAAAAAATTGAATTTTCCTAAACCTGAACAACTCATAATTTTGTCTGCACTTATAAACTAAGTAAATTTCTTAGAAATTATTACTAGCAACATTTGAAAATGGAACAAGATTATGGGGTTTAATTTTTATAACTAGATTTAAAAAGATTTTGAGATATGGAATCATTTTTAAAAAGAAAATAATTATATTTTACTGTTTGTATAGAGTAGGTTTAAAAAAAAAAAAAAAAATTTGCTAACACTGGATTATAAATGTTACAGTTCTTTTGTATTACATGTGTGTGTGTTCCAACACGTCATCTGGGTTTCAATAGCAATACATTTGAAATTTTATTTTTAATTTAATTATATAAATATCAATTACCTTTTTTTTTTTTATTCAAAAGGGGCATTCAATATTTAGTCACATTTTTAATATTTATACCAAGTTAAGATATTACATTTATTTAATAATTGAGTACATATATAGTAATGCTAAAATTAATATATTAGAATCTAATTATATATATTTATAAACTATTTTATTTATGCTATTGAAACCCAGGCAATGTGTTGAACAAACACTACCACAAATTTTTACTGGGGGGGGGGTGAAGACAGATACCCCAGCACTCACCTTCAGTTGATAGTTACAATACACTAGATACACAAGTTTCCTAAATAAGTTAAATCTTAACACCCCTAAAAGAAAAAGAAGATGGAATTTTCCTTAATCAAAATATCAAATTTGTCTGGACTTATAAATTAAGTAAATCAATTTGTAAAAAGTTATTTTTAACATTGCTAGATAACGGAATGGAACATTAAGTCTAATTTTTATTATTGAACTGAAGTTTCAGTTTTGAAACGGCAATTCCAGTGCTGAATTGATTAAGAAAAATACCAGTTTCTTCAAATAGTTCCTACCCCCCACCCATTTTCAATCTCATCTGAGACCATCTTCAGTGAATTAAGTTGTCTATGAGTATGAATATTTTTGTAAATTCAAAACATTTTAACTGATTATGCAGTTCTAGATTTCAAAATTAATGCAGCTATAAGAAATCTATTATTTTTGTTATTTTGATTAATATATCTATATTAAGTATCTATTTATTTATGCCATATATACATGTTTATAGTATTTTCATTATGATCATAACTAGTGATAGTTGCTATAGCAGTTTAAAAAAAAAAAAAAAAAAAATCAAATCCCTTCCCGTCTACAGACCACCCATCCTCCCTATTAGTCAGTCAATGAGAGGTGTGCATGTATCAGCAATTTTTAGCCATTTTCATCTATTCTTTAAACAATTATAAGAACTGCACAAGGCAGCCTAAAAACAAGAACCTGTCACTTTTAACAGATATAATTTTGTTAAATGGTTCAAAGTCCTTCAATATCAACATCTTCATCCTCAGTGTCCTCATCTACATCTTTCATTTCTTGAATATATTCATTTACTTTCCCCGGGAATTTATGGCAATTTGAATATGGCTGTCCATATGAGCAACTATGTACCAGCCATTTGCTACTCCACACTTATTTGGCTGAATAATACATGCAGTTCTGAAATAAGACTAGAAAAAATCCAGGTATAGTGTATTGGTAAGGGGGTCAGGAAGTTAGATAAGGCTGTCCATATGAGTAAACAATGTACTAAACATTTGCTACTCCAGACTTTATATGTTCATTAACACACGCAGTTGTGAAATAGCAAAATTTACCAAAACTGTTTAAAGACTCAGCTGAAGGAGAAGAAAAATTGAGTTTCCATTCATGCAATAAGAAAGAAAATTTTACTTTTTAAAATGAAAATCATCTTTATTCTTTAATAATAAAAAAGCATATATATATACAATTTATTTATAATATTCATGGTTTAAAAATCTGTTTTCTCTAATCGGGACAAAACAATTTGAACGATCCATTTGAAAAACATGTTCATCTTTACACAACAAAAGACAATTGGTTTTGTGAGACACAAATGTGTATTTTTTTTTTCTTTGACAAATCTAAGAGGAACAAGAGACAGGTTGCAAATTTCTGTACCTTTATGCAACCAGGAGATAAAGAAAGTAAAACTAGTTTTCATTTCCAGACAGAAGGAAATGAAAAAAAAGTGTATGTGAGCGAGAGAGAGAGAGAAAAAAAAACCTAGTTCATAGAGAGAGGGGATAAAGTCAGCAGTAAGGAGAAAGATGCTGATAGTAGAGGGAGAGAGACAGAAAAGATGATTACCAAGACAAAAGAGGAACAATTGTTGAGAGCCAGGCAACATCATCGCCTAAATGAGGATTTGCCTTACTGTCATTTGAAAAAAATTACGAGGACACAGGTTACGAAATGGAGCCCATCGATACAAACAGGTGATGGGCAAAATAAAACTTAAATTATATTAAAGGAAGTAGAAGTGTTAAGGAGGATAAAAACCTGGGCAGCCTTTTCTGTGAAAAATATAATTGACAGAGAAGAAAAAAAAAAAAAGTTCATATCCAAAAGTAGAAGTTGATCAACTCATCCAAATTTGAGTAACAGTTCAGCCCGGGCATCATTTTATTAAAGTACATTACCAATGACTGAGTCAACAAAGAAAGGCACTTGCTTAAATTTAGTTAAGGAGGTGTGTGTGTGTGTGTGTGTGTGTGTGAGAGTGAGAGAGAGAAAAAAAACAAAAAAAAAAAACCACTGTAAATTGATTCGATGTAGGTATTTAAGCACTGCACATCAAACACTCTTCCCTGTTGTTGATTGAACAAGCCATAGCCGCCATGTTTTGCTTCTTGACAGAATCTGTTTTGTCAGAAACAGAAGAGTTCAGTTTTGTTTTGTCCACAGTAAATTTGATGGCATTGGCAGCTGGCTTAGTACGGAGATAATACATACCAGTCTTGAGGCCCTGGAATGACAGAAAAATAAAGTTTATTCATTTAGTGGCTACCAACAATTATGACCATAATAAACATACATATTTTATACAGTCTGGCTCTAATCTGACTGGCCACAACTACCAGTTCTATATATGCACTATTGTGCATAGCCATCAGGCAGTAGTGACCTTTATGTAATATGGGCACTAATATCCACTCAGCTGATCTAAGATGTTGTAATAAGACTAACTGGTGAGTGCTCACCAGCTCAAACTACCAAGGTGTGAAAATACCCATAGGGCAAATGATATATATATATATATATATATATATATATATATATATATATATAAATATATATCCCCTTTAAATTCAGTTTAAAATACAGCAAAGTATTTCGCTTATTGGAAAGATGGAATTTAATCTATTAGCTTTGAATTAAGACTAAAAAGCACTAAGAAATATCTTTCATTTTTAAAATGCATTTTTAAGCCTTAGGTATCTTTTTCTTTGGGAGGTACTTTGCTGCTGCTATTATTACTCCTACTACAATAACAAAAATTATTATTAGTAGTATCAATGTGGCACTTTAAGGGTTGAAGGGATAGCTTGATAGCTATAACAAGAGAGATGTGAAGAAAAAAAAAAAAAAAAAAAAAAAAAAATCACTTGTCAAAAGAGAAGGTGTGAATTGATGGAGCGGTGAAATTTCTTTTGGTAAAAGCTGAAATGGAGACACTGCTGCTTTTAAAAGTACAGGTTATGGAATTATCTGCTGGCCAAGAGATAAAATTTAAGGTTTTCTGAAAACAAGGGCAAAGTTGGAGCATATATATATATAGAGAGAGAGAGAGAGAGAGAAATCGGCAAAAAAGGAAGGGAAGTTGTGAATCACTGAAGAGATGAGGGCTATCAAGGGAACAGCTGATAAATGCCAATTGAGAAAGTAGAAGCAGCCAAGAAATTTCATTGTTGAAAATCTTGGATGTTAATTAAAATTAATAATTGGAGCTAAGCCTCACCTGCTCGCCCATGGAGACTAGAGATTGGATTGGTCAAGTGACCATAGAAGTGAAGGGTCTAAATGGAAACTCAAGGGAGGCAGAGGAATTGCCTACACCCCTTTGGGCAGTATTGGTATGAAGCACAAATACAAGAAGGAGAGTGATCAATATTCTGCTACTACTACTATTCCTCAGAGGAGAAAGGGCCTCTCCAAAGTTGGGCATGCAATTTGTTGAGATTAAGGAAATGGCCAAAATCCCAATTCACATCAGACCCCTTGATAGTTTTGGACAGAGGTCTATATAAACAGAATTGAAAGAGAATCTGCCAGACAATTGCTTCACTGAACTCCTGTGACTTCCTGCCACCGAAGACCTCTGACTGAGCTGTGCACCAGAAGCTTCACAGATACCCTCTCCAGAGTAAGACACACCCATAGAAGAGAACATGACTAAAGACTGTGTGTACTCCATCTTGTGCAGCTGTGGAAAGAAATATAAAGGGGAGACAAGCCACCCTCTTACGGTAAGGCTTCAAGAACACCAAAAAGCTGTAATGCGAGGGGAAGTGGAAAAATCAGACCACATATGGAGAGAAAAGGGAGATCCACCCTCCGTGGGATCAGGTTGAAATCCTAGACAAAGAACATCATTGGAAAATTTGTAAACTTAAGGAATCAGCACACAAAATCTGAGCTGACCAAGCATAGAAGTGAATACAATATGTGAACCAGTAATAAGGAGTGCCAGAGGAAAGCAATAATAAACAACAAAAACTGCAGTATGAGCTCTGGTAAAAACATAATTGATAACAGCAAAAATTGCAATATGAGAACTGGTAAAAAATGGTTGCTGAAGACATTAGGTTTATAATTCCCAGGAATTCATATACAGATGTTCTCAAGGATACATGGCACAGTGGATAAAGGCGTTAGTGTTAGTTCAATACCTGGTTATGGTGGTGGAGAGAGAATTAACAGGAGATAACTGATAATTGAACTGGAGAGCGAAATAAAGGGTTCAGTTCAACATTTCAACGACCTAAAGAAGGCCAGAGCGTACAACAGCTGAAATGTTGAGACAAAGATGAGGATGATAGTCCAAACAATGTAAATAGTGTACATAATACCTCATCACAAAAATATAGACAAGTCCAGAAGCCTTGTCTAACAAATATTGGTGGAGTTATCTTTAGGCTGTGTGTGTGGGGGGGGGGGTATTTTTAGTGGCTATGTGTTAGAGTTGTCAGCCCTGTATTTTTTTTTTTTTTTTTACTTCCACTGCTTAATAAGAAAAAGCAGGAATATTAACTCAAATATTTACCCACTAAATGTGTTTTTTTTAAAAAATTGTTTAAGAGCGACTGGGAAAAGGCAAGGGAGATAACTTCTGGTTTATTAACTGATAATTAGAATTACACACCATTATATCAACTTGTAAACTTCTGTAGGCCATAGTGACATATCAGAAACAATGTTACTATAACAAAAAGCTGCAAATAGTACGTGTGGATGTGTCTCTTACCATTTTCCAGGCATAGAAGTGCATGCTGGTTAATTTGCCATAATTTGGTTCTGCAATGTGAAGATTGAGAGACTGGCTTTGGTCAATGTAAATGCCACGGTCAGCAGCCATCTTGATAACCACTTTCTGAGAGATTTCCCACACTGTCTTGTACAAGTCCTTCAGTTCCTGTGGAACTGCCAAATCCTGTAAGACATCAAAATAGAAATCTTTACTTACCATTCTGCATGTGCTTAAACTAAGATGTAATTGAACGAGACCTACCATTTCTGTTTGGCTGAGGGCCACAATCTGCATGTTTATTCATCATTCATTGCAGAATCACAAATAACTATACAACAGAAACACCATCACTTCAGAACTTCCCAGTAGCAGTAATTAAAATGGATATCACATTAATCCGAGGAGAAAATAATGACAATGAAAATGTTGACATTCCTCTATTTCATACAAAAAGGCCAGGAAGGAAACCCCCTTCAATGTTACCGGGTTTGAAAAATCTATTTGTGAAAAATTGTTTTAATAGAAAGATTTTTAAAATTTCAATATACTACAGTACTGGCTGTTCTGTCAATAGATGCCAAATATTTCCTTGTAGGGAAACATCATTGTTATAGATGTAAGTATAGTCACAGGAAACTTATTTTTACAATAATCAGTGATGCTAATAGTTTTTAATGTAATGAGTCTATGGGACCCACAGGTGGTGATTTGGGAAGCTCAAAAGGACAACAAAAGTTGGGAAATAAATTGTAGGGTTAAACTGCAGGGATACAGACTAGGATATAAAAAAAAAACTTAAATTCAAAACAGAAACAGTATTTATACTTAATCACAGTTCAATTACAAAAATATTTTTTGAGAATTATGACAGAACAAAGTTGATTTTCTTTCAATTGAATCAATAAATTTAAAACAAAAACAGTATTTAAAGCAAAAGGGTCAATGAATTCAGGTGTGTCAAATAATAAAATAAAGAAAATAAGAAAGTTTCCGGTAAGGCAACATTAATGTCTATTTCATGCCATCCACACATCCAACCAATGAAAGAAGGAATGTGTAAGAAAAGGAAGAACTACTAAAAAGTCGTTGAAAAATAGTTTTGAGCTTTGAAAATTTTACTTGCAACATCCCTGGGATGTGCAGATGGGTAAGTTACTATGTCCTGTAAGATTTTCAGGTGTCAGGAAAGGAGATACACATATCAGCATTTCTCAATACTGTTTGTAATTTTATTTGTTTCTCACCTGTACTGATCCATTGCTGGCAATTAATTTATTTTTCATGTCGTCGTCCCAAAGGCCTCGTTCAGTCAAATCTTTTAATAAATGTTTGTTTACAACCTGAAATAAACAAATAAAGTTGAAAATTAATTTTAAAACTAAATTTAAGTGCAGCCTTTTTTTTTTTTTTTTTTTTTTTTGACATACAATTTTTTAAAATTTTTTTTATACAAAATACATGAATTGTATTTAAATAATCAGGTGACGCAAGACAAGGTTCTATTAGGGATCAAAAAAAAAAAAAAAAAAAAAAAAGACTTTTTATTTATTTATATATATATATATATATATATATATATAATCTCTATCTCTCGCAAAGAGAAGAGAAAAAACGGGAGAGGGTGGGTGGGGGGCATAGGAACGGGAGAGGGTGGGCGGAGGCATAGGTAAAATATGAAAGCTACTTACCATAAATTCTCCAGACAAAACTCTGCGTGTGTAAATGTTGCTTGTGTATGCTTCAATCGATTCATTATTGCCTAAAATTTGTGCCGTAGAAGCTGTTGGCATTGGAGCAAGCAACAGACTATTTCTTATTCCATGTCTGGGGAAAAAGAAAATATTAAATGATAAATTGTCAACATAGTTTGATACATAGACAATTAGAGTTGATATAAGCAAAGAACACACATGCCTATTTACAGGCAAATATAATTGTTTCATCTTCACACCAGAAGAGCAATACTACACAGTCATGCCTTAACATTTTTCACTGACATGAAGTATGATGATATTGAATCAATTGGGGGATCTGCTACAAAGAAAAACTGGTTGTGACAAAAAATTATTAATTCTTGCACATTTCCACTCTTTGTCCATGCATTGAATACTGTCGCCATAACTGGTCTGGTGTTCCTGCTATATATCTCATAATTCTTGACAAAATCCAAGTCCGTAACATAATTGATCCAGATCTGGCATCTTGAATTCAGTCACTCTCACCAACATAACACAGCTTTCCTGTCTTTTCTACAAATATTTTCATGGCAACTACTCTAAGGAGCCATTTTCCCCCTAGTGCCCAGATTAAATGAATTTAAGTGTGCCACTAGATCAGCAACCATCACTACTACCCTAACAGTTTCTTTTCTTGCGCTTCTTACCCATGGAAGGCCCTTCCAATTTCTTGTTTACCTGATAATTACAATTCAAATGCAACATCAATCTCCATATTCTGTCTCCTTGAAGTTCCTTCCTCAATCATGGGGAAAGGGAAGGAGAAGAGGAGGAATGAAAAAAATGGTGTACAGAATTATTCATGAATCATTTCATCCCAAGCAAGACAATTCTAGGCGCAAGGCAATGAAAAATCACTAAAACGACTACAGTGTTAAAAGAATAAAAAATAAAATAAATAAATAAACAAAAATTATTAAAGAGAAAACAATAAGACAGAAGATAATGATTGACGGTGCATTTTAAATTTCTGAAGATCATAGAAGAAATC